GACGTGTGCTCTTCCGATCTCCCCAAAACCCCAAAACCCCAAAACCCCATGAAGCTTACAATTTATTGATGGAATCTGGTATTTAATACTATAGAGTTTTTCGATTTTACATAATTAATTTCAAAAATATTTTGAATTAGCAAGTTTCAATAGAACATAATCTAGCTAAGTTGCAGCTCTGAACTATTTGATTCTATGTAAAGCTTGAATTTACTGCCTTTAATAGGTTCCTTATCACTTAGCTCAAATAACCTTGGCTAATATCTATCCGTAAACTTAAGATTTTCAATTTTAATTAAGCTCTTGAAGTTTTTCTCATTATTATCATCAGATTCTTCATCAGAGTTTTCATCAGAACCCTCACCATCTTCTTTCTTCTTACTTTCATAGATCCAGAACTCAAAAGTAACAGGATCTCTGTAAGGGCAATCGTTTGCACTTAACAATCCTAAACAATTAAACGATATTTCCTCATCTAGATTGATAATAGCTGTAGCATTTGAGGCACCAGTAATACACCATTTACTTTAAGAGCTAAGAATATTGTCTGCATCTTCATGAGTGTTGCCTTCAGTTTCTCCAGTAACCTTACCTTTGATGCCTTAAATCTAGTTATATCTATTCAATAACATAGCTGTGAGCTCTTAGTAGTCTCCAATTTCCAGACACTCTTTTTGTTTCGCCTCTTACTATTTAAGTAATTCAACGATCTACTCAATCAGCCATTGAATATTTCTTTAGCTCAGTTTCTTTCTATTTTCATGGTCGGAACGCAAAAAATATTGCATTATCTTTTGCTCGTCAATGGGAGCATTGATTAATTTATGGATATCTATTGTGTACTCTCTAAACTCAGGATACTCAAGATATCCATTTAGATTGGTATCATATTTATCCCAGATTTCAACAAAGGCCTTTTTTATTCTTTTCTCAGCTTCAGTATCTTCTTCTTATTCCAAATTTTCAAACTTTTCTTAGTTCTCAACATAAGTTCCATTCAATTTTTGTTCTTCAATTTATTACCTTCTTCTAGAAATGTGTTCCTTACGATACCATTCATCATCTTCTTTATCTAGTTTTTATTCCAATGCTTCATCTCTTACTTTTCTTGGCCTTATCACTTCCATTTCTTTAACTTTTCTTGAGTAATCTAGTTGTAAGTTATTGTCTATTTTCAAAGGAAAATAAAAACTGGGTGGATTTTCCAGATCAGTAGCTGGGACAAGAATTGATCCTTCAATCAAATAGTTTTGAATACAGTTTTATTATGAAAATATTTCCATTCCAATGCACGAGAGTCCCTCACTCTCTGAAAGATCTAAAGTCGCTACGTATGAATTTAAAACTTAATTGTAATTTTAACCGAAATTAATGTCTTCTTTGAATGCTTTAGTTGCATGAAAAGCAGCTTCTTGACGATTAATGCCTTCGGAATGATAAAGTTTGAATTCTCCTGACCAAACTTCAGTATTTCCATGTCTTATGTAAATATGATAGACACCTGGTGGAATTTTTTCTACAATCCAATTAGGATTGAACCACCAGACTGTATTGCATTTATAAACTTTGGCCCCAAACAGAGAGTTTTAAATAGAGTTCAGCTCCCAGTAAGATGTACTCTCTTAAAATGACCATTAGAATGCAGAAGCTTATGTTGCCATACATATAGCACTATCAGTGAAAAATCTGAATGTTGATTTTGTACCTTTAACCTGCACTAATTGATTTTTGCTGCACAATTCATCGAAGTCAGCATCTTGCTGGACATCTTCTAATTCGGCTTAACTCATAAAGATACAATTTACTAATAAATACTTATTCACAGATAGTTTAAAATCATTGTTAGCTATTTATTGTTTTTGAATCTGATTAATTGTACAGATTCAAGGTTGATGGGGTTTTGGGGTTTTGGGGTTTTGGGGTTTTGGGG